TCAATAGGCGCGCACGCTCGTCGCGCGCTTTCGGAAATTGATTTATTCAAACGTCAAAAGTCAATTTTGAATCGATGTGAGAGCGTTCCATTGCTGCCACCGTCTCCGTCGCCACTACTGCTGACGATCTAACCGAATCAATTGAATCATGTAACGGTTGTTAAAACTAATCAATTTTCTAAGTTTGTAGTGTTTGGCTATAAAGATATGTGGCGTCAATTAAAATTCATAAACACTGAACAGAGAGACAGAAGGAGACAGAAGGAGACGGAGAGAGAGAGAGAGAGAGTAAAAAATTGATTTACAGTTTCACATTAATGCCAAACCGAACGCTCGGAAGTTTCGAAGAAAATCATTAGGGATTTACTGTTCATCGCAATAAATCAGTGGTTATCTGACAATTGAATGCCAATGAATATTTGTTTGCAAAGCAATCCCTCGCTCAGCAATGATGTGCTCGCTTGAAAATTGAGTAAAAAAAACATGAAAAACAAAATGGAAATAGCAACTAAAGAATTCAAGTGAATTGTACAAGAATCAATTAAGGCGTTTTGAAAATGTTTACATAAATCAGATAAACTCGCATCATGTCCAAGGGATCAATTTATTATCGGACGCATAGCATATGTGAATGTGTGTGTTTATATAGCTCCTTTCACGTGCGCGAGCGATAGTATCAAAGCATGTAAAGTGGCTAACGATTTTATCCTAATCCATTCTGGTTTATATGGTTTGTAATGGGTGTCCGTATGTGTGTGTGTGTGTGTTGCAGCTATTAGATCGTTTGAGCCTATCTATTGGTGAGTTTGGCGTGTGGATTGAAATTACGGTGAAACATTATGATTTATTAAAAATTTATTCGGAAAACACTTTGCAAACCGACAAAAACCGTTTGCAGAGACGCTGCCAACGTAAATCAAATTGTTTATACGGGTCTTCGAGAGTCGGGAATTGAATATATATGCACAACGTTTGGCGTTTCCACATCGAAAAAGAGAGAGAGAGAGAGAGAGAGAGAGAGAGGGAGAAAGGAAGAGAAGGAGATAGAGCAAGAAAAGGTATTTTGATTCAATTGAATAGCAAAATTTTCAATCGAGACTTCCCATTCCTCGCATTGCAGGCAGGTGAATTGATTTTAAAACACACATGCACAACCCATCAATTACAGCCCATTTTCAACTCTTCAATAAGACTCATTCGCGTATTATTTATTCGCCATGTTTTTCATGCGCTACGCTCACTCGCTCGTTCGCCCCATGCACTCTCTCCACACATACACAAGTATATGCACACGCCAACCTCATTTTTGCTAGGTCCACTCTTTTACCCGGCAGTCCAACTGAAATATTTATTAATTGTTAAGCGACGTCAATATGTGATTTTCTTATTGGTGCTCGCATATAGAATATGGTCACTTTTCCACATTTCGAACTAGAAAATCTGCGAAATTATGCACTATCTAACGAGTCAACCCATGGCATTATGATTTAGTGCGTTTGAGTCAATTTAAACGAATCTTAAATATTGAAAATTGGGCACTTTTTCAAGCCATTTTCGTCAATCTATCTCTTTGCAATGAGTGAATAAAAACGAAATTGTAAATTATATAGAAGAGCTGCCATGTAATTGCTTTTAAATGGGCCAAAATGTGCAAGGAAACCATCAAAATTGAATCGATATATCCGGATTGATTCTGTCTCTCTCTCTTTTTCTCAATGCCTCTCTTCATGCCATACCGGCTCCGCCAACGTAAAATATTTGCATGAATTCGTAATGGCAATAACAGTGTCTGAGGCCGGTAATTTTCCGCGATAAAAAGGTGGCTCGTCAATTTCGAAAACGTAAAATTGAATCAACCTTAAAAATGCAATAATTCAACAATCATGACCAATAAAACGCAAAACGTCGACGATTGAAATAGGGAATGAGAAAAAAAAACAACAACAACTTTGTGCCGTTTATGCACACATTTTAGAATTGAAATCGTAGAAAATGTTGAATATTTATCAATTTGCTAATGGTAATGATGTAGCCGTTTAGTTGGATTGATGTAAAATTGTTGTTCAAATGTTCGCGTAAAGAGCGATTATCGATACGATGAAATTTGCGTTTTTTCACTCTATGAAATCCCCATTCACCCACATTTATTGTTTTTTTCTTCCTTTCTCTCTCTGTGGTGTGCACATGTATGGAAATGAAAAATTAAACAATGAAAATTACGCTATTGACGACCCCAGAACAAAAGAGTGGGAGAGAGAGAAAAATTATAAAAAAAAATGAGTTGAACTACCAAATTATGGAAAAATGAACACATCGTTTAAATTAATTTCGATGGTGTTATCTCGGTTGGGTGGCGTAATTTGCTCTCTGGGTATTTGTCGTAAATAATGCGATTACGGCAATCGCAATGAGGACATGGCAATCGAAATATGCTGACAATTATATATGTACACATATGGATATGTGTGGCCTATCATTATCAAAAAAAAAATTGAACGCACATTCAGCGATCTGTATCATAATGTTTCGCTGTGGCAACGCGATGAACAATGATTTTCCGTAAATGATTATAGAATTAGAACGTGATGGTATCGCTCGCGAATACGCACAAATATACACACACGCCGTTGATGAAAATAATTACGGGCAAAGCAAACGGAAAACCTGCTCGAATGAAAACGATCGGTTCGACGAGATAGAGAGGATCATTAGAGGCCTGCTTTCAATGTGTTTTAGGTGTTTGCAGAAACAAATACCAAAAAATTAAATAACAAATCGTTTTGTATATATGTGTGTGTTTTTCATCACTCTCCGCTTTTGTTTTATGCCGTTTTTTTTTGACAATTAAACATCGCTTAATTCCACCATATTTTTGGTTGGTTAGCGCGCAGCTCATTTTCTTCACTAACCACAATAATCGACTCGAGTCACAAATTATTGACATTGATCTCTATCTCTAAGCAGGCAGTTGTATGATTTCCCTCGAGTCCGATTTTTTTTCTGTCGGTTTATTTGTTTGTGACTTTCTTTTTTCTTTCACTCTCGCTGTGGTTCTCTCACTCTCACATTCCTAATCACACATTAATTCATGTCAATTCACGTGTTTCATTTTTTTTTTGTTCATTCGCTTTTTTCGGCATCGAATAATGTGTAAGTTTGTTATTTTCCAAAATGGCCCATTATATTCGAAATACGGACACCCACCTCTAGTATAGTGCCATTGCCATTGTTTGCTCTCGCATTTGACAACAATGGGAAACCGCGCCAAATACTCACCGCGTGTACACAAAATCATCATTAGATGAGTGAATTAGTGGGAGAATAACACAGTAAATGCCGTACCTATAACAACCGGCAACAAACTGAGAAAATAGGATAATTTTTTTTTTTGTTTTCGTCGTTTAATATCATTATTTTGTTCAGTCGAACCGAAAGATTCAGCGTTGGTGACGCTTCGAAAATAACAAGGAATTTACCGATTGCGGTTTCGATTGGGCACAATGCTTATTACTCCACCTCTCTCCATCTCTCTTTTTCTCACTCTTTTTCCAAACGTTCAAATGTGTTGGCTTAATTTTCAAATTTTTCGGATTGTGCGTTCGGGTTTTTGTTAATTATTTTTAATCGCAGTGACATTTGTTTTTCCACCACAAGCACAAGCAAACGGCCCAAGCGCCTGCAGATCGCCGTTTTGATTTCAATTTGAAACAAGCAACGGTAATCGCGTATCGCTTTTGACAAATGGCTACGCACATGACAATCGCAATTCTAATCACCGCGCACCTTTGTACACCTTGTACAATTATTATATTCTCATCGAATGACCATTGTAATTGTGACTTTTTTCTTGCTACTAATGTGCGTGTTACTTTGTTTCATGCAATCTATTGAACCCGCGTTTGTGTTTCTTTTGGATTTCTGCACAAAATTAACGGTTATATATCTTGAATAGCATCAAATATACATAGAAAATGGTTTCCATTTCTTGTTCTTCATTTGAAATGAGCCTTGGCCCAATACGCCTCAAGAGTAAAAAAACTCACGGATGTCACCACATTTTTTGTTTCTTGAGTCTTGATTTACCAAATCTTCTGCTTTTTACCTGTTTAAACAATGGAAAATTGCTGTAATCTTTCAGAAATTAACTCGTTTTTTTTTTCTGTTGACAAATATTTTGGCACAAAATCATAGAACAACGACAATGACTTCTGGAAATTTACATCGACCCAAAATCGGTGGTCGTGTAATTATGTAGAGTTTTGCTCAAGATTTAATCATTACCATCGCTATTTTAAGTTGGAAAAAGTGCAAACTAACTTAAGACTGCTGTTTCGATGCATGAAAAAGGCAAAAAATGTCCTAGAAAAAACTTTACTCACACTTTGAAACCCTCCGACGGTTTTCTTTCATTCAATGAACAAAAAGTAAACTTTTACACTGTAAAGTTTTGAATCATTTATTATTCCAGCGTAATACGCGAATATTCAAATTAACGTTCAAAGCTTGTAACTTACTAGTTCCATTTTTTTCGTCGGCGTTCAACTACAAAGCACAACTTACTTATCCATCACGGTTAATGATTCATGAAGACCTTTGAAAAAAGAGAAGTTTACTTTTGATTCATACATACAAATCCATATATTTTTTCGCATTGTATCGTAGATTGAGTCTAATACAAGCTTCACAAAAGTGGCGCCCCAAAAAACGCATCTGATTTGCATTGTACATGCAAGCGGTGAGAGTTCGAACTAACAAATTACAACAACAAATACTACTGACAGGCTCAACTCTCGCATTGTATACGTGATTTATTCGGTGTAAATGTGTTTATTTGAAAATAATTGAAAGTTTTCTGCATTTTTTCCGCTTGAGATTGTGAACGTGCACATTGGGCACGATTCGTGTGCAAATTTTGAGCGAGATAGCGATAGAGACTCACTGAAACGCACAAAAATGAAACTGATTGAAATCAATGCCTGAAATATGATTGAAACACGCAATTTCAAGATTTATTTCCATTTTATTTCTTCCACTTGATTTATTTTATTATTTTCATCTTAATTGTTCTATGCACAAAACAGTGTTGTTAGCAAGTTGTAGTGTTGTTTTAACGTTTTTGAGTGAATTCGGTTGTGTTTCATCATCATATTTTTTTTTGTTGCTATTTGTACAGAAGATATTACTCACTTAATGCTACCATTTATACATATTGAGTTGTGTTTTACTATATAGTGAACATTTGTGTTTGAATTTTAAAATCAGAAGAAAAAAAACATTACAGCGTATCAAATAAATCAATTTGCTACTCTCCATTCGTTCGTTGAATTTATTCAGTTGAACACGTTGCTACGAAATAAAAGTGAATCATGCAAAACTAATAAAATATACACATCAAATTGAAGCTTAATGAATAAAAATAGGGAGGAGGCGGCATGAGAATTCGCTTGCAATTCGCGAAGAAAACAGAAAATAAATAAAAATGAATTTCTCGGCGAATAAAAGGAACATTCAATACTTAGTCTATGATAAACGTATATTTCTCAACTGATTTCCTCCGATAGAGGCTTACACTAAAGAAAAACACATCGAGGTGAAAATCGAAATGCCGAATTTATGGTCAAAATGCAAATGCTTTTGTCTAAAATAGTCTCATCTCTAAACTAAATATGTGTGTAAAATATTTCATTTCGTACAAATAAAATAAAGGTGAAATATACAAACTAATTTGGTGAATTGCGTGTTGATGGTGACGATTGTTGTCGCCGTGGATGATGATTTGACAACGGATACGGGCTGAAACGTGCAAAGTTTTTGACACGCAAATCGGGCGATGATGAATCCGATGATGACGATGAATTTGGCGGTATGATGATGGATGTGGCTTGAGTCAAGGGCAGTTGATTTGTCGGCATTTGAAGTGGCATCGCCGCGGTTGATGTGGTCGGTAAAACTGGTGCACGATTGCCCATAGCATTTGCAAAAGCAGCCGCTGACAAAAAGCCGGCAGACAATTGGGGTGGCAATTGATTTTGCCACAGGCCTAAGTTTAACGGTGAAAAATTTGATCGTTGATACATTTGCGGCAATAGTAGATCGGGATATGGTGCACGACCCATCATCTGCAAGTGTTGACGTGCCTTTTCCAACAGAGCAGCTGAAGCCGATTCCGATTCTTGAGCAGCAAACTGTGCTAGCATCGAATCGGGAAAGAATCGCAACGGTGCTCGCAAGTGTTGCTCCAGCAACAGTGAATCCATCGGGTCTCTGGAAATTAATTGAAAATAACCGTTTTTACTTAATCATTTTATGGGCAATTTTTTTCGGATGATTTTGTTGGTTACGCCTCAACCATAATAAATAAATAAACTCGTTTGATCAAACGATCGATCGATTCAATCGATCGATATCGCTGGGAATTGGTGTCGTTAGAGACGCGCGTTTATAATGATTTAAAAATGCGAATCATTATAAAAAAACAAAAGCGATAGCAAATCAAAAGTGATGAAAAAAAAAGCCATAGCATGTGAACGGAAAGACTGCTTTTTCTGACGATTCAACAGCGAAAATATCAGGCAACAATCCTGACGAGCATCAGTCACATACACACCAAAAAAGAAATCCTTTTTTTCTCTTTTTGTTCGCGCCGAATGTGGGAAGAAGGGAATACTTGGATAATAGTGATTATAATAAAAAACGTAATACATGCATATATGCATGTGATGCCGAATCTGAACCTATAAATTTCACTAATTATACTGATGGTCAATTAACACCTAATTTTACATTGTACGAGCATTGTACGAGCAGTGATGATATCTTCAAGTTTGCCGCCTTTTCATCTTCGTTTTGGAATTGGTGATTCGGGGCTCTTTCTGTGTCCGTTTCGTTGTTTTTTTTTCGCCTTATTATTCTTCTTCTTCGGTTCGTCTTTATGGCCGTGTGTTTCTGTGAGTGCATCACTTTGATCTTTGCTGATGAACAGTTTAGGTTTTTAACGTTTCCAGACAGCGCAAGTACAAAATGCCTTGAATCTGCCTTGTCCCTCTTTTGTTCACGCACTCGCTGCTCTCTCTTTCTCTCTTATCATGCGAAAAACCCATCGAAACGACGATACTTTTCGAACAAGCGAGTGAGGAAAGCGGTGGAAAAGAAAACGAAATACGAAAAACAATTCATTTTGATGCCGTAATATCCTATATTATTACCAGCACATCTCGAACACGGTGATGCGCTTCACCTTTCTTCCCAATTTACATATGTGTTATATGTGGCAACGAAGCTGTGTGTGCCGATTGCTGAACAGGTAGACATTCAGGCTCTCCGTCCTCGACGGATAAACATCAAAACAGCTCTAATGACTTTCATTATGCTGTTGAACATCTGAACGCGATTTACGTGCGCTGTATAACAATTTTTCGCCGAGTGCGAAAAGCGGCAATAAGAGGCACACACAAAAACAGAACGGTTGGGTGAAAAAAAAAATTAGCACAAACACGGCAGACGGAGTGGAGATAGGTTGTTTTTTTTCGGATTCTTTTGTAGATTGATTGTAGAAGGAGAGCATCGTAAACGCATTCAAAGCAGAGCGATAAACAAAATTGAATCACTTGCTAAAGAACGAATGAAGACGAAGCCATGAACCGAAATAGTATTTCACATAAATCGGCTGGTTTGGTGCGCTGAAAGCAACAGAAGAAAAGCCATAGACGTGGTGGAGAGAGAGAGAGAGAGAGAAACACGAAGTTATTGAAAATATTAATGTTCATCCAGATATACTGCGTTTGCGATCGGGGCAATAAGAAGCAGCTCGTCGATGAGGCGAACAGCAGAAGAAACTAAAGAAAAAAAATTGACCAACGTCCGATTCTGTTGTTGGTGCTGTTGCTTCATGCTTACATGTTTTATGTGTGCAAACATTTCTATATGCATGTTGCGCGCTGACCCGATTGAGCAAATGTAATGAATAAACTCTTTTCGGTGTGTTCGATTTCGATCCTTCTGAATACTACATTCAGCCACGGTGCGCATCAAAGAGAAGCCGCCTTGTAATTTGTGAAACCGATGATATAAGCCATGGGCGCAATACATTCAAATTTCTTCCCATTTTCACGCACATACTCTCGTCGCGCTCATCTTGCATCACAACACAGCCACTCAACCATTGTGTCCAGGCTGTGTGTGTACATCACATTTTTGCAACGATATTTTTCATTAAAAATGGCAAACACTTTTTGTTTCATTCCGCATATGTATGGTGTTTTTTTTTGTGCTTTTTCACTTCGCTTCTCTAGATCGTTTGCGCTATGTGCAGGTCGACTTCGAATTAATACCTTCTTCATCAGGTTATTATTAAACATATCATCATTTAGTTCATCGGCAGTGTTTTTTTTCGCACCACCATCATATTCGCATTAAACATGCGAGAAACGTGTACCAGAGAGAGCAATATGTGAATGGATGTGCGATGGAACAAAACGATGCACATGCGATCGGAGTGGCTTTCCATTAAGAATACGGCAGCAGAGGTTATCAAACGAAAATAAGTAGCGAATTCATGCTAAAACTATGGAAATATTAAGTTTAAGTACTCTTTTTTCCCTTCGTTGCACTTCTTTTTTACATAACTCGATTTCACTTTGTGTACCTCTCACTCGCTCTCTCTTTCTCTCTCTCTCTCTCTCTCTCTCTCTCTCACTCGATAAACATTCGACCTCCGTCAAATTGACACTTGATTTTTATTCACCGACACAAAATTACCACCCGAGAAAAATAGTAATCTAGACGTGCATAGAACCAATGATCGACGAGAAAATGATCGGAAATTATTATCTACACAGGACACACACGCGATTTCTTCATTGACAGTGTTCAGAAGTGTTTACTATGGCAACTCTACTGACAGACTTGAATGAAAAAAAAATTATTCTCTCTGCTGCATTGATATATTTTCTCGCCTCTCGGTTATTCGCCAGAAAACTTGACTCACTATACAGATTGATGATAATTTTTTTTAACACCTCGCATACATTTAATGTGCTTCGCATACACAACGGGGCTATCATTAATGGCAATTATACATTCATCATTATCATCAAGTTTGAGTTTCACGTAAAACACACGTTGAAACATCAACCACATCAATTTATTATTTTAAGGTTGCGCTTGCAATAAACAAAGTGAAAATATTCGCACATGAAGAGAAATTTCTTTTTTGAAGCATAAAAATTGAGCGTTTTTTTTTTCGACGGAAGACTTCTTTTGCCATTGTTGTGAAGTCAAGTGAGATTGTCGAGGCAAAATGAATTTTATATCAAGTGCTGAATTCAATCATGACAATCAAGAACTTTCGATGTTCGAGCCAAACGAAGCAACAATGTAATGGCATTTTTTCATGAAGACAACTCCATTTTTGGGCAATAATTTATTTTCACCTAATTCGCGCTTGACACCAATTTGCGTAATGTTGAAAAATTTGGAATTTAACACAAGTATACATTAAGTTTTTCTTTTCACTCACCTATCGTACTCCGTCAGTCGTGAACTGTCGCGAAAGCCTTTTGCAAAAGGATTGGAGTCAATTTTCAGCTTAGTTATCAGTTGATTTTGATACGCCGTCACGGCGGTGAATACAGTTTCCGGAAAAATAAATGTTTTATGATCTAATTCCTGTAATTCTTTCGGCGTTGTCGGAATATTGCGACCCGGTGACAGTCGAACCAAGTGTATCCGCGGTTGATACCGATGCATTGAGTTCAAAACAATCTGGAATTATACAGAATTTAAAGCATTTTTAGCTAAAAAAAAAACTTGACCATTTTTCATTTCTGTTACTTTTTCCTCTTTTTCCATCATATTTTTTCATGTAACTTCAACCCATTAAAAAAAACACTCAAATCCCCAAAACGAGACTCTTTTTGGACAAATTGCTCCAATTCACCGAAGCAATTGACAAAGGAAGTGCAATACATGGTGGAATCATAAATTAAACACGTTCAAAGGTGATAAACACGAAATGTCAGCGCAAGCCCATTATTTATATGGCTTTTGGTTGTGTGTAAACAATAAATTTGTGTGAAATCGCTTTCCGGTATATATATAAAATCCATACGTAATTCAAAATATGGCGCATGTGCCAGCGACAGACATGCCGAGCCAACAATAATTGTACAACATCGGGCCGCGGAATCAGAGCGGAGCACAAAGCAAGGCATTATCACAAACGACGATAGTGACAATGAGAAATATATGTAATCGCTTGCATGAGAAACACTATTGACAAATTTTGTATCAGTGACAGGCACCGAAAATGTGTAATGCTGTTATCATATGTATGAATTATTATTATTTATAGATAGACATAGACACCGTATGTAAATGAGCTTATCGTGTTAATTGTATGCGGCAAATGCAGCCGGAAAAAAAAATAGAATCCATTTATAGGTTTCTCATGCGTTGACGAATCTGTTTGTGAAATTTCCTACATGCGATTACATGTTGGATATTTAATTGCTAGTTTTAACATGATAGACCATTGTGTGTTTTGAATTTCAACATGTGCACCATTGTTACAATTGATTTTTCGATCGCATTGATCATCGTCATTCGAAATGAAACCATTTTCTTATTAAAATTGCTGGGCGTCAAATGAATAATTAAATGTTAAATTGTTCAAGGAGCTTCGCAAGCGTGTGTTTTTCAATGATCCTCCCCCAAGAGCTGGCTGAAGCAACAGCAACAGCAGCAGCGAAATACCGAATGGTTTAAATGTCATATTTGAAAGCATACAATTCCGTCCATCCAACCAGTAATTAATATGTTTTTTTTTCGTATTTTCTACTTCATGCAAAGGATCATTATTTTAATTACCCACCGAAAAACGGAATCCTTTTTCAAGCAATTTTGAATTTTGAGCCTTTTTATCGCTACGCCTTTCGTTCCATGTTTTTCATTTGGAAAATTACTCCATACCAAAAGGCGCAACCGTTTAACGCGCCATATAAACAAAAAAAATGGCACCGACAGTTAGACCAAATTGGTATTAGTACTATTTATAATTGTAGATAATTGTGCGATTTAGCCTCATCATAAAGCGTTAACGACATTTTTTAAATACACAAACGATTTCAACAAAAGAAATGGACGGAGCACAGTAGAAAAAAATAGAATTTTCGCCAATTCCGGTGGTTAATAAACGCAATGAAAACAAACACGGCCAAAGCAAAACTGCCCAATTAATTAAACATCAAAGTGAATTTTGGAGCGAAACACTCAAATGGTCGTTTATGGAATACGTATAAACAAACGAGCACCATGTGCTCTCTCAGTGTGTTTATATTTTATTTTACGGCTTTCGGCTCATTTTCATGAAGAAACAAATAAAAAAACACACCAAAAAGATTGCACTCCAGAGAAATGAGTATGAAAATGAATCGACATATGCATAACTTATTTGCGCCGACATGCGACCCTCCAAACGCAACTGACTTTTTAGCCTCGTTTTACATACATAAAACCCACGAAAAAATATGAGTATGTAGATAGTGTGCTTTGTATCAATTTGTAAAGTTTGTAATCAATTGGCGATGATGATTATTAATAATAATAAGACGTGTTCAACGCGCGTTAATCAATAAAATTGGTGCGGAGTGCTCGAGAGAAACAAAATCGAATTGAATTACAAAAATTTATCATAAATTCAAAATGAGGAGAAAAAAAACACTGGGTCTTTTTATTTCAAGAGACACACACAGTTTGCAGGAAGAAAAAACGATGAATTATTGCCGAAACACTGTTGTGTTTGATGATGATTACAACCAAAAAGAGGGTCCTCATGCATGAGCACAACACAATAAATCATACGGATAAACGGCAAACCTTCTTAATACGAACATTAGCTTGTATCTGTTTGTTTGTGCAATTTTAATGTTACAGTCTTTTAAAGATGGTTTTATGCACCCCAATAAAACTGACTCACTCTTTCCTCCTCTATCGCTTTATAATACACACATTATTTTAAATTTTCAATAACATTTACATAAATTAGATGTGTTTAGACAAAATATTGAGCAAACCAATAGATTATATTTGAGCTCATGTTATTTAGTGGGCATTCATGTTTCGATTTGAGTGGTTGCTTTGTGCAACGATAAACCATCATAATTCAATGTGAAACGATATTTAATCCACCTTTGGATGATTCCGAGTTCTTTTTTTTTTTTGTTACTTTTCGGATGGCAAATTCAGCTACAATTTAGAATGATTGGCAATTGAATAAAATTTATTGACTATTGTTTGATCCGCTGATATCATAATCAATGAATTTATTGGCGTTCTAATAAAGCTATGAGCAGAGACTAGGCTTGAGTGGGCTTGCAGGCAATTTACGCTGCGTTTAATGAAAATTGACTCAAAAGTTTTTTTCTTTTGTTTTTTTCTTTTTTCTTTGGTATTTTTTCATTTTTTTTTTTGTCATTTTCTTCCGTATTTCAAGTAAATTAGTGGAAATAAATTCCTATAAATCTCCTGCCTGAATAAAAACTATAGAAAGTGTCTCTTACCTGTCCACTTTTATCCATTTCGTTGTTGGTAAGTTTGACTTTTTCAAAAGAGACCACTTGTTTCCGCAGTACATCGACGCTGATTGGACTGTCTGGATGGGCATACAATCGTGGTGGTGGTGGTGGATCGGCTTTGCCAGCCACAAGCCACGCCGATCGATGATACGCATATCTATAGCGACGAACATCAGTCGGAATAACATCAACTAGAACGGCGTACCGATCAGCTGGTTGGCTAAATCGCAATGGTCCCGAAAACGAAACTCGCACTGTCGGAAACATTCGCCTGTAAAAAAAAAATACACAAAAATTGATGATCGCTTGCAAGTTCATTGCGTTCGTTGTACGGTGAAGAGTATTGTTATTCTTTCAACAAAAAAAAATCGATTCGCATGCGATGGCACAAGACATAACCAATTAAACTATTATTATTTTTCTGCAGCGTTTGCAAATGCAGATCATACAAGTGCGAATTGTGTATGCGTGTTGGAATTGAGAGCGAGAAAGAAAAGGCGAGAAAATTCACTCGGATGCAAGAACATGAAGTTCACACATTTAAATCCAATTAGATGCATCGGCCGCTGCTGCCACTGCCGTCGCCGCTCGAAGTTGTTTCTCTCGGTTTCTTTCCTGTTTTTCTCTCTCGCCGCAAATCAACTTGTCTCATTAACGCATTCTATTTCTTATTGACATTGTGATGTGAAATAGGGTCCCCATCGGATACAATAAAAACAAGAATAGGTTTGCGTGTGATTTGCATGAATTCCGATCTCATCGACACTGGGCAATCGGAAGGTTTCTCTTATTGCACCTGTGCCATAAAAACCGCAGTCGAACGAAAAGAAAAGGGGGTAAAACCGGATAACGAAAATCGACAATCTTTAATTAAACTCATTTCGCACGCATCGCCAATTTTTATGTCTTTTTGATTGGTTGATAACATTATTATCAAATCAAGAAAATACGTTTTTTTCCATCCGCAAAAAAACATTTTTCTTTTGTTCAAATAAAATTAAAAAAAAAAAACACCGTTTTTACCCACTTCTTTCCCCTTTCCGTTTTGATTACTAGCAAATAGCTGCAGAAAGCAATACTGTAATCATCAACATCAAATTTACTGCAGTAACAGCAATAATTTTAGAGTTTTTTTTTTCGAATTGCCGCCGTCGCTGCGTCAATATTGCTGCAGAGGTTCGTGCGGGCGCGCAAACGATCGGCATCGGAAATATTGGCAAAGGCATGCAAATCGCTCATTAGCAGCAAATGTAAGATAATTTTCACTTTTGTGTTGACATACACGAATAAACACATATGGGGATATTTTACATAATTTCTTAATGGCCGAGTCGCTTCGGGTTCGTGTATGCAGCGCTGCACACAAACACACACACAGATTCTCTCATGGCGCATGAAACGGTGCAAATTATTATGAATTACATTACGATTAACGGCTTGTGGCGGAGGCAATAACAATAAAATGCTTGATCGTTCAATTTTTCTTTACTGCTTTTAGCGTTGGCAAAGCAACAGACACTTTTCCTGTCGCAGGCAATCTATCGAGTAACGGAAATATTTAAAAAAAAAAAAAGAAAAACGCCAAATCTAGTTGAGTCGGTTTTTGTGTTACATCAAATGACGGAACTGCTTCAATTTTGTTTTTAGAAATTAGTTGATTGATTGTCATCACGAGCAGCAACGAAGATTACTGCTTTTCACTTGGCTACATTTATATGTTTGCCTTCATCTAAATCGATCCGAGTTAATTAAAAAGCTTCAAGTAATTTGTCTTTACCGTACAGCACATACACACATACAAACACCCATGCACGCACAGCGCAACAACGCAAGTATGTCGCATAAAGCAATTTAATCGATTTTCGGTTATATTTTGCTGTAACAGTTGATCGATTCGATGAATACTGTCTTTCACCAGACTATATGTTCCGTTGTTTGGTTGTGCCTTGATGACGATATTGCTTTCTACATTTACCATAGTAGTATCGTTCATTTACGGCCATAATTTAGCTCTTTGTTTTCCGCTTGTCGTCGTCATCGTCGGTCATTTTCATTTATGTAATAAAAAAAGCATTTGTTTGACGACGTTGATTTGGTTGGACGATGGTGCTACTGCTGTTGTTTTCATTACATCGATTAATATTTAATATTTGATCGGTGTATTTATTTTTTTTTTGGGCGTTGTTTAGCCTCGCGGCATTGGAAATAGCACCAAGTAAGAAAGGAAAGAAAAAAACTAGCCCATTCTGCCATCCGGAAATCGATAGAGTCAAAACAAAATGCATTCAGCAAATGCAACGCATCGACAAAACATGAAATTATCGACAGCCGGAAATAAACCAATGTTTTACCCAATGACCAACAACACACAATTTTACTCCTCTCGTCCAACGGCAATTTTACATTAACCAAATGCTTGGAATGCATTCGGGTGAACTTTTGGCAAGCGATTTTCAATTACGTCACTTAAAAATTGTTACATTTGTTCAGGATCATTGTTGGAAAAGAACAACAGAGAGAAGAAAAAAAAAGGTTTTGACAAAGCGGATCAAAAATGACTTTAAGCCATTTCTTGACATGCATTCGCTTCGAACAATGGCAGTGTTTGCGTAAAAGTCCAAAAAATTATCCAAATGTTTATACACAAACGATTTTTCTAAAGAAACCATAAAAAAAAAACGGAGAGAGAAACATCATGCACTGAGAGCATGTATGACAGCGCACATTCTTTGCTGTTGTGGGTTGCCGTGTTTTTTTTTTCCTTCGGTTTGCTTGCCTGCTAACCTTTGGTGGGCATTGTGTTAAGCCATGACTTGCTTTCATCAGCAATTTGTTACAGTCAATCCGTTGTGCGCTGTTTTGCTGTTGCTGGGGGTTTTGGCAAGTTCGAGAGAGATCGATTTTTGTTTCATTTAAATTGTTGAGATGGTTTAGCTGAGAGAGAGAGAGAGAGAAAGATCTTTTCGATTTGTATTACGCCAACGTTGTTGGAAATCGCCTGGAATTCGGTCGCTCTGTCTCTTTTGACTCGTGTGTGTCTCATGCTTTTAAGAAATATTTTTCATTTTGATCGTTTCCTTTCTTTGCCAATCAGATTTAATGAACGTAATTCAAGATAAAATGTTGGTATGGTTGTTGTTGTTTTTTTCGATGGATTTTAGTACTGGGTCATCGTCGTTTTACCACCCGCTGATCTGTATGTGTCTTCTTCGTCATTTTTTGCTACAAACATTTTTGTACTTGTTCAAACTTTTGTTTGAGTTGGTTTTTTTTAAGGTGCGATAGAATTGCTATTCTTCTGCAAAATTATGGCCATTTCTATGTTTTCAGTATCTGTTCCGCAATTGATAAATCGCACACGTTTTCTCGCACACATTTTTCACTCAAGTCAAGTCAAAATAAAGAGCACCATAGTGTCAATGGCTATTGAATTCAGACCGTGATGAAAAATGATGACTTCAACGTTGTTTCTTCGTCAAATGGACTTACTACTCATTTGAACTATAATTAGCAGCTATTAATCCAGCAATTTCAACATATTAATGCAACAACATTGTTTAAGACTCAATTTGGCCCGAGTCCATGCTTTCTGGATCTCTTTGCATCTCATTCTTATTATCTCTCGTCTATTGAACGCTTTTTGGTTAAAGTATTTTTCATTGTGATTGTTTTTATTTTCTACAGCAGTTATAACCAGCCCAGTCCACATAATAATCACCGACCACCACTCTCAATGCTTTCTCGCCTATTAATTTGATGAAATTGCTCGTGTTGTTTTTTCTCTCTCTCTCTCTCTCACTGTCGGCCACTATTTGTACGATCAATCATTAGCATGTCATCACAATTAGCATCGATGTGATGAGCAACGCTGTACGAAAATCGTTAGAAAAAAAACTGTGCCAACCATATTGGGTTTGCTTTGTATCGCGTAATCGACACGAACGCATGCTTCAATTACATCGATCGATGAGTTTTCCTATCGTTTTCACAACTTTTTTTTTTGCTCTATCTCTCTTAATTAATAGCATATTCGCTGTGTGTTTGTTGCGCTTCCTCCGCTAGAAACATCAGCCGTCTAATTACAAAAATGCAAATACTTTGTTGTTGCGCATATTTTCAATATTCAGCATCTTAAGCGCATCAAGATTAATTTGCATTTTAATTACGGTAAACGTCTAATTATTGCCAATTATCTCACCTCAGCGTAATATTATGGATTGGTAAAAATGTGCGAGTTTTTTTTTCTCGCTCCTTTGCTTTTCGCCGCACAAACCAATACACAAACACATAATTCTATCGAGAGTTTTGCTTTTTAATGCACCGTTTTTCTTGTGCCTTCATTTTTAATTCTAGATTTTGAATGCATAATAATTTTCCTTTCTTTTCATTTCATCAATCAGTGACGATTCGTAGTCATGTTCAAAACTCAGCGCTCGCACTCTGTGTGTTTACGCCGTCGTAAGTCTTTGAAGTCGATCAGTTTCAGCCCGTTTTGATATATGCATACCGTCTCTGTCTCTCTATCGCTCTTTCTCAGCTCGATTGCGTGTCGAGGCATTATTCTGCCATTCGTTTCCAACACTTCTCATTCAGTTTCGGAGATTCGATGAAAAACACAAAACAACAAAGACGATGACGATGACGAAGAATCAAGCAGCTACAGCAGCCGGGCTGTTTTTATTTTTGCGTTTGCCTCGACGTTCATCTTTATTAAATTATCACACAATTTATCCGGCCATTCATTCAATTTAAGATAGGTGTTATTTTCATTTATTACGAACGCACTTCAAGCTATTGCACCGGCGCACACATCATTCGAAAAGCGATGTGCGCGGCTGGCATTGGTGGCTGGCATGTTTCTAATTTTCGAATCGTCTTCTCTTGCTGTCTCTTCTTCGCTCGCCCGGCTCTTGCCGCATCTGGGACGTTGCTCAAGCAGTATTTCACCAAACACTCTCTCGGTTCTTATGTATGATATCGCGTCGGCTCTTGACTAGACTTGCTGAAGTGAATATATTACTGAGTATGTGACGAATGTTTGAAAATCCTTTCGGCAAATTGCACACACCACAAAACAACGGCAACACAGAAAAAAAAACACAGAATAACAGAATGACTTGTACGCGCCCGAAGCCATATTCTTCTTTGTATAAAGCGTCTGTGCCGTTGTTGTTGTCGTTATTATTACGATTATGCTCTTTTTTTCCATATAGAAAATGCGCTGTGTTTTGTCTTTGGCTGTCTTACTTTTCTGGCACTCTCAACGCGTTC